TTATATGCATATAAGCACACTTGTTTATACAAATACATATGTATGTTATTTATTTCACAAAATTACTTTGTATAAGTAACAGACCGAAAATTTGTTAAATTTATCAATTTCATTTAACCGGTGATAAATATACATATATATACACACAGGTTTTGAACTTGGTGATATCACAAAACTAGAAAACTAAATTGCCATTATAATAGGCATATAATATGGTTAACTGTATCTGGTTGTTGTTGTTGTTGTAGCGGCAGAATTCCACTGAGTTGGTAGTCCTTGGTCGGATAAAAATCCGGGTCCGATCCGATTACATAGACTCGACTGTCGTGAGAACGGATAAGTAAATAAAAAATAACTTTATCTGCTCAGTTATGGCGGTTATACAAGAAAACAAGTAATTCTCTCACCGTTTTCCTCCCTTCACGTGATCCTCCTGTCAGGGATTTTTCTACCACTACAACAACAACAATAGTAATTCTATCAGAACGGGCTGAAAAAAGTAATTATCTGATATATGAGTCGTTGAATTTTGTTATTATTGTTGAAGCTGAAGGTAATGAAAAGTACAAAATAAAATGCATTGACTTATCAATTGCGATTATTACGGAATATTAGTCTAAATATAAAATTTAAATGTACATAGATAAATATGTACACTTGTGGGCAAAACAATAATTTTTACTTAATAACTTTGGGTATCAAGGGATTGACTAGGTCAATGCATACAGGTCATATTTACTTAGTGGAATGTTAACTTCAGCTTATGACAGCATAACGTTTTGCAAAGTAACTCTGTACTCAAAGGCGGTCATTGTGTCCGAGAAACATCGCCACACCATTATATTTTCGTTTCCATGTTTAATTGTCTTTGTGATGTATCTACAATCAAATTCTTTACCTTTAATCCGGCGGACAATGCTTTTATAATCATATCCGTAAATATTAATATTAACTTCATCACTGAATAAAATTTTGCAACACTTTTATCTCCGGTGGGACCGCACCAATATTTATGTTGAGTGGCAAAAGCATTTCTCTTCTGTATGTGGACCTTTCGTAGGAGTGGAATTTTCCTGGCTTTATGCCATGGTAGATTACCGTTCACTAACCGACACCGAGTTGTCCGTTAGCTAACATTTAGGCCAACTTCCGCGAAAAGTCAGTACCAGCTAAACTCACACCAATTATTTTGCCCATAAGTGTAAATGTTTATTTGATTTTAGTTCAGTTTCAAGTTCAACACGTTTTTGATGTCATTTGTTTAGTAGCAGCAATATACCTCAATTGCACTTAGCATCTATAGATATACAAATAAATATATATAGAATATAATTCTAGCTGCCTAATACGAGTACCTCCACGTTTCCACAATTTAAAGTAAGACATGAAAAACAAAACTCGCACAGCAACAATGCCGGACACAAAAATATATGTAATTACATTCGCAAATACAAAAGGTAAATAAATAGCTGCGTTTGACTTCTAAAATAAACTAACTTGTTTAAGTGCTCAAATTTTCGCACAAAATTGGCAAAATTTCTTTCACACATTTTATATAAACAAAGTTATATAAAGAGAGGCAAATATTTAACTTTTTATTAAGATAAGACTGTTATCAGAGAAGATTAACAAATATTTTGGTAGGAATTTGATAAAAAAAAGAGGTATTTTGGATTCATAAAGAAGTTACCCAGATTATAGAGAGGCAGGATTGCGTATACACACATGTACTTATATATTCAAGATTCGATTGAAAAATATGTATGTAGACTTCAGCACAAACCTAATAACCTCAATTAACCAGGAAAATGTTCCAAAATTTCAGATCGATATCTCAAAAATAAAGGAATAAATTTCCGTATATACATACAGACGGGGTTCGCTAAATCGACTCAGCTCGTCTCAATGATTTTCATATATATTTTATGCGATCTCTGACTTTTACTAATGGGTGTTACAAACTTCATTGCAAACTTACAACTTTACAAACTGACAAGCCTCTATTTACAAATTATAACCCAATAAAAACCACTTAAAAGTACTTCTAACGTAATTAGTGCAGTGACTGAAAGCGATAAAATCAAGTAAAGATAATTGTTGATCAGATATAAATCGAAATCGAGATACTATATAATGGAAACGTGGTGGTTGTTGTAGCGACAGAAAACATTGCTCAAATTATTCGTTCCCGAGACAATGGGGTATACGTAAACGGAACGAACCCAGATTTTTTTCGGCCAAGGTATGATAAACCAACTGCATTCCTCCAAATTACCGCTACAGCGAAAAAATTTCTGAAATAATCCTGAGTTCTTACAAAAAATTGAAAATGAAACAATAAAGTTGTACTATCCATCTTTCATTCCCGTTATGCATGACGGAAGAGACATTAGACCAGACATTTAAATGAATGATTACAGCAAACTTTGATTATTATGAACGCTCGCAAACACTTTAAAGTATATTATAACTAAGCACGAAAAAATATAAATATTAAAAGATACTCGCTGAAAATTTAAAATTTTTTAAACATGGACCTCGAGTATTTTTTCACACATATCGGAATGATGAGGATTTTTGTTTTGCAAATATTCACTAACTTTAAACTTTTTATAAATATTATATATGTTACTATGAATGTCTAGTTTGAACGGACTATAAAGTGATTTTGAAAATGTAGAATTCAAAAACAATATTTTCACACTACAAGTGTAATACCAATAAACTAACCGCAAATGTGGTTAACATCACTTTGATTGTTTATTTTTTGGCATCAAAACAAAGTGCTTCAACAAATAAACATATTTTATATATACTTATATACATATGTACATATAAAGCACGAACTTAGCAACTTTAATTTTATTGATAAACATACACGTTTAGCCAACATTTCATCGCTTTACTTCAGCGGATTCGAATTCCGACACTTTAGCGTTTAACTCGCGATAAGTGCAATCAGTCAAAGACATGTGGTGAAAACTTACATGCATATGTATTCGGGCATATTTGCGCCATAAAACTTTTGGGCAGAAGTGCTCTAATTGTTATCACGCACAAATGGTACGATTATATAATTGATATGTTTCACTCACTCATAAACAATTTTATGCTGCTTTTTGACCTACACATTGTCAAAGAATGCCGTCTTATCAGCACAAAAGCAAAATAACAATATTAACAATCCACAAAGATTACAAACTCATGATCAACAAGAGTCACACGCCACACAGCCCGAGGCACATTTGTACATATCAAGTCTAATATTTATTTACATATTATATAATATATTATGGCAATACAAAAAGGTGAGTGCTTATGTTAAGACTCAGGCCTTAATAGACACTTGGTGCTTTTGTAATTCTGCTCTAAATTCAAAAGAAATGGCTTTTCAGAGGAGGAAAATAAATATATATCTATTGGTAGAAACAAATAATCACGCATAACAGCCACGTGTACAAAAACAATTATAGAAATGGGATGATTATTCATTTTGTTCCGAGATTTTAAAAACTTGTGACCAAGCAGCCAAACATGTGCAAATAAATCGGAAATAGCACTAATAAAAACCACACAATATGCAAACTATTTGTATGTAAATATGAATGTACACACTTTCATATACATGTACATACATATGTATATAATATTTCTGCTTTCAACTGAAATGTTGACATTAAACTTATACTATGAGAAAACAAATTAAAAGTTTATAGATATAATTATAGCAAGAATTTTAGTTTATCGTACATACTATGTAGGTAGTTTTGTATGTGAATGCATTTTTACAACAGTTGGTAGTAGATAAACTGTTAGTTGTTTTGGATGTTGAAAATATTCTAAAAATATAATTTAAACATATTGAAGTAAGATGATAGCTTCCCAACCATAATAGTCCGATATCGTCGGTTCTAATAAATGAACAATTTCTAGTGGAGAAAAGGTCGTGAGCAAAAATGTATAACGATACCTTAAAGTCCGAGGGAATCTAAGGAAGTCGTTCGCGAATATACAGACACACTGAAATGGTAAAATGTGGTCAATATTAGGCCTATTCTGGGTAAAAAGATAGTATCAAAAACGGACTAATCCAAACGTCCGGAATCATTCAAGTCCCGTTAGGTATAATTGATGCACCACAACGTCAAATTCTTTTTATATAGCATACATATTTATGTATCTACGGTATGTATATAAAGTGGAATGTTGCATCACTGATGTCGCCACAACCGAGTATTAAATAGGAGTACATTTATATGGCACAATTAACAAGCAATAATTACTTAAGCAACTTACTTGCACTTAGTGGTAGCCAAACACCTACCGGCACTTGCAAGCTGGTCTATCTGTCGTTATCAATGAAAAAGTTGCAAAAGAACTTCCAAATTAAAGCACTGCAGGCGTCTACAAAATATTTTAACCACTAACTATAAAAAAAAACTATTAAAACAAATATATATTTTTAAATAATAATAATTTTATAGAAGGAATTAAAAGTTCAAGTGGAAATAGCAAATTCGCAAACAACAATAAGCATTGTTGCCAAGTGTCTGAAAACTAACATTTATGTATGTATAAGATTTTTTCTATTTGTTTCTATACCAACAATAATACTCGTATAGCTCACCTTTGAATATATTTGTAGACTGTAGACTAATATTTCGTATACTTTTCCTACTTACGTCTTTTAACAGTTTTTTTTCAAACTTTAGCGTGAAAGCATGTTTATACAATCAAAACAAAATAACCAATATTTGTTAACAATCTTCAACATTTATTCATGAAGCGTTGGCAACACGGAGATAGTTTACAAAGTGCCACAGAACAAAACGTCAAAAGCAGCTGTTTTACAGCATGGTACAGATGCTCTAAAATATTTTGATATTCACATCAAATTTCCAAAAAAAAAAGTAAAGTAAATAAATAAAAACTGTTGATAAAACGCTTAAATCAAAAGTTTTTAATTAAATTGGCATTTCAATTATTTGCCTAAGTTTAATAATAGTTAAAATGTATTGTAAATCACTATTGAAATGTTTACGTGTAATGGTACTCGACCCAGATAATTCGGTACTTGCTACTGTTTACAAATTTACAACACCAGCATCAACAACGGCAGTGAGAAAAAAATATACAGTCATCATTTTCGTGAGATTAGATTAGGCATTCCAGTTAATTGTGATATTCACTGGAGGATTTCGTTGCAAGTATGACACAGTTATAAGACAAAAATCTGCCGAGCATGGGCACTACAACATAATACTCAACTTAAGTACAACATTCCTTTGGTTTATAAGAGGTATGAAAAGGAAATGATGAGTGCTAAAACGGAAGTGTAGGTTGTCGTTTTGTGGGTGGGTGCACGAATCAAGGTCACCGCTACAGGTGCTACTTAGTTTCGGGTTGAAAAAATTACAGAAAAATGTTATTATAATAAGAATCTTATTTCTTTAATATAATTTCAGCTTCTAAAAGCAACCAACCCACCCGTATTCTGTCCAGCAGCCCCATATTCACACTAAGTGCAAATATTTTAGATAAACATGTCCAGTACAAAAACACAGCGCCAAGGTCGTTGGTATTTCGGTGGTATTGCCAGTGCCGGTGCCGCTTGCTGCACACATCCGTTGGACTTGATAAAGGTGACGTTGCAAACACAGCAGGGCAAACTGTCTGTGTTACAGCTAACCGTTAAAGTTGTGCGGGAGCAAGGTTAGCATATTTGTATTGTGTAGTATTAAATATTTTAAAACACATGGTTTTTATTATAAACAAATTATTTTAATTGATAATTGCAGGCGTTTTGGCACTCTACAATGGCTTGTCTGCTTCCGTCCTTCGTCAAATGACATACTCAATGACGCGTTTCGGTATTTATGAATCAGGGAAGCAACAAATCAATACCGATACATTCCTCGGCAAAATCACCCTAGCAGGTTTGGCTGGCACTGCCGGTGGTATTGTCGGCACTCCGGCCGATATGGTGAATGTACGCATGCAAAACGATGTTAAATTGCCGCCAGAACAGCGCAGAAAGTGAGTTAATAATTTTTAATGTTGGATGAAACGTTTTTGTGACGGAAAATTAAAAATAAACAGGAAGAAAAATTAAAAAAATTTGTTAAAAGAAAAAAAATTTAACATTCAAATGGATCGAATTAGATAAATTTACTGTGCAGACAAAATCAAACCGCATTTTTTTGGTTAAATAATAATTTAAAAAAATGTTTTTTTTTTTTTTTTTTTTTTTTTTTTNTTTCAATATGGATGTGAATGCATAGTATAATTAATATGTAACTATATTAAATATGTGAACCTTAACCGTTACAATATTAGTTTAGTTAAAAAGGGTTTATTCGAAATTTATTAAATGTTGCAACAAAACAGCGCTGCAATATGATTTTGGTTGCTTAGATATTAGATATGCTTAAGTTTGCCATGAGTGCAACATAATCCAACTCATGATATTTTACTTTAAAAAAAAAGTGCAGCTTAATTTGTGTTTATTTATATTAATAGTTATAATATTATTCATATCTTCAAAGTCAACACACGTAATGACTTTTACTTTGAGCACCACAGCAAATTGAAGCCGGTAACAGCATCATTTTGCTACAAAATGAACTTTATTTTCTGTCATTTTCATAAATAAAAAATTAAAAATACTTTACAATCGAATCGGTGGATTATGAATATACATGTTGTCATCTGAAATGCAAAATAACGTCACAACATTTTCGGAAATTTATAGTGGCATGAATGAAACATGAAATAAAATGGAACATGAGTGAAAAAAATGTTTAATATTGGTTAAAACTGGTTTATATCTGAGCGCAGAACCTGAAAATGTTGAACATATGTAATATTATGTATGTAATTTGAAGTAGTGAATCGTAACACTCAATTTCGAATTTTTTGATGATACGTTATTTTGCATTTCAGGTGACGGTATACACTTTATATCCCACAAAACAACTTCGAATGATAAGAAACAACTTAAATTTCAACTTCAAAAGATTAACAAAACAATGGAAATCGAAAGTGAATTCGATACGGGGTTTTTTTACGCTAAAAAATATTGCATTTTACTTGTTGTTATAGCTTACTATAGGACAACTTTTGAAAACAATGTCCTGCAAATAGACGGTGGACAATATACCACATGTAGAGACTTAAGCCAAAGTAAATTGCTGACGAAAGCTCGAGTGAGAGTATCAATATTACCTCTTTGCACACTTGATTTCTGAAAATTACTAACGATTTAATCTCTTCAAACTGTACCACGAAATACAAACGCTTGACTTGATACTAGCCACTCAGCTATAATTCTCTCCTCAATCCAACTTTACCGAAATAGCTCGCTACGAGTTTCTATCGCAAAATGTAATTATAGCCACAGGTTCAGAATAACTACTACGAAAATATCAACATCCAGATGCTTGACTACCTTAAAACATGTGGTGTCGGTAAAGTAAAAAAAAACGGTACTTTATAAATTTGGGCTAATATAACCCTTAATATAATCAAAACTATGCCTTATTTGAAATATTTACAATAGCAAAAAAAATAAATAAATAAATAAATAAAAAAAAATTAAGCTTGGTCTCTTATACACATCTAGATGTGTATAAGAGACAGACTGTTTAGTGACCATTTAAACTTGCCAATTTCAATTCTTATTAACTTCAGCTACAAAAATGCGCTCGATGGTTTAATCAAAGTATATCGCCACGAAGGATTCACACGTCTATTTTCGGGCGCCACCACCGCCACTGGCAGAGGAGTTCTTATGACAATTGGTCAAATAGCATTTTATGATCAAGTAAGCTTTCACTAACATTAGTATAAACCAAAAATGTATATTTATGCTTCTGTACACTACTTCCACACGCAGATCAAAGCAATGCTGCTCACAACACCCTATTTCAAGGATGATTTGGCAACACATTTCAGTGCATCATTGGCTGCTGGCGCTATTGCGACAACTCTGACACAGCCACTTGATGTGCTGAAGACACGTTCCATGAACGCTAAACCGGGTGAATTCAAGGGCTTATGGGATATTGTCAAGTTTACAGCGCGTTTGGGTCCGCTCGGCTTCTTCAAGGGCTACATACCGGCATTTGTGCGCCTAGGTCCACACACAATTATCACATTTGTTTTCTTGGAACAATTGCGTTTAAACTTTGGCATTTTGCCAAAAGTAGAGGCTTCCGTCGTGGCTGCACAATAAACACATGAAACACATAGGCACGCGCATATACACGCACACATCACATTGCTGCTAAGCACAAGCTGAAAGCTACTCGACAAATGTATAGAAAAAAATTAAACTATAAATGCACTACAAGCTGCTATTGATGTCTAGTGAGCTATAGATATATTGATACATACATGTATACATGTGTATATTGCTAGTATAAAATATTTCACCTTGGACAAAATGCAATAATTGTTAGTCAGTTCATGGTCAATGAGTTTGATATATATATATGTATATATGTATAAATAGTTGTAATTTTGCATTTAGAATGCACTGTGGTTAATTGCATACTTAGCGTTAATTTTAGAAGCATTTATAGTCGCACAGCAATGGCAGTTAGCATAAATACATATTATATATTGAAAGCCACACGGAAAATATTCATATTTATTAACGAAAATTTATATTTTCTTTGTCATTTTTACTTGCTTTCAAAATGTGTGTGCTTTTTATAATACGAACTATTTATGTTCAGTAATATTGTAAACAATTTTAATATAGAAAATGCTTCTTCGCAACCAGTTGCGGCTTCAGCACTTGTGTCTGCATACAAACACATATAAACACATAAAATAATTGTTATTATATTTGGAATCCATATACCGTTATTACAGCTATTTTACCTTTATAATGATTCGCATTAAATGCAACGGCTAACAGTAACTGACATTCCTAATTCATATGAATACTATTGTATTTGCAAATATATAAATATATATTTAGCCAATTAGTTACATTATAATTTCTCTTTTTTTTTTTTAATGACATTTGTTATAATTTAATAAAATTAAATAAAAACGTAAAATTGTAGCTTTACACGATAAACGTCAAATTGTTTTAGTTGTGTCACTATTTTAGTTTTAAGTAAATAAAAATTTAAACTCTTTATTGCAATTTGGAACATAAAGCTTGGAAAATCTGCGTGAAATCTATTTAAACTGAGTTTTAATTAAATTCCTGAAGGTATTAATGGCCTGATTTGTTTATATTAGGACTCCCACTGGATTTGATTGGCGGACACCTGCTGCCTTGAAGCACAAAATTAGCAACAACAACATAGATACATATGTTGTTTTACAGTTACTTGGTAGTGTAGTAGTGGGTGTATATGTACTATGCGGTGTAAGTTATCTCCTCTTCGTGTTCTGATTGTGCGTAACACAGTGTGAGGCGAACAACTGAATAATAGTACTTAGGTACCAATGCGTTTTGTTGGCGTTGAACAAATGAGTTTGGCTGTACCGCAGCACAGGTTTATTTCTTGTACAGTACTACAAAATTCTCATCTTGATTTGATAGGTAAATTTTTATGGCAGCTATATGCTATAGTTGCCCGATCTGAACAATTTATTCGGTGATGGTGCCGTCGCATTGTATAATAACACATCTCGAATTTCGTGAAGATATCTAGTCAAATAAAAAAGTTTTCAATACAAGGACTTAATTCTGATCGTTCGGTTTGTAAAGCAGCTATATGCTATGATGGTCCGATATTGACGGTTACGATAAATAAGCAAATTCTTGGGGAGAAAAGGACATGAGCAATACACTATATATATGTATGTATATATATCGACACTTCTGAATACGCTGATCAGTCAGTGTTCAAAGAGGTAGCGAAACATACATATCATGCTGCTCATGACAGCAGCTGGTTTTGACATAGGTAAGATAATGTCGTCTCAATATATGGAGGACTTAGAGGAAGACACACCACTGGCCCTTGTTCCAATGGAAGGCGTTATGAAGGGGGTAAACCTTTCAATGAAGAAGATTCCACGCTCGACCTACCTCTGAGGGGTAGCTCTATCTAGTGGTGCACTGACAGTTCGAAAACACTGGAAGGCATTGGAGAAGGCATTACGGGGCCGTATACCAAATGACAGGAAACTCCAAGACAAGGTCTTAGGATCCATCTACGTGGACAAGGATCACATCACCATCACCCCAGCAAGCTCCTAGAATCATTCAGAGTACTGAACCTTTGTGACCATATGTGATAAAGAGGATACAGATCATCGGTCGCAGTGCAAAACATCAATTATTTTCTATCTACATACTTTACAAGGTCTCTGACGTTTGCTGCAAACTTCATGACAAACATGAATTAATCACAATATTTTAAACTTTGAAAGGAATGTGGCATAGTCTCAAAATAGTCTTAGAGAATTCAAAAAGCAGGAAAATTCAATTCAAATCTTCAAAATTTATTCAGTTTTCCCAATGTACTTCGATTAAAAAGAAGATATACAGAAAAGATTAGCTTTGTTATAGATGGAAATTTATAGAACCTAAAACCTATTCAAGCTAACCAATTTGGGAGTCGTATATACATATGTATGTATGTGTGTTTGTATATATTTTCGATTTGGGAACGGATTTTTATCGGGTCAAGGACTTTCACCTCAAAAACATACTAAAACAACACTATCTACAAATCTACAATAAATAAGAGAAATTAAATATAATTGCATACTTTTAGGCGCTTTGCCGAGTTCAAGACATAGTGCCTCTAGAGTTTATCAGGCATATTTGTCAAGTTAACGGTATTCGAGCATGCTACCTGACATACAATATACTTTAACATTTTTCTACAACTCTTTTTGCATTTATTTTCATTTATTTATTTAATGTTTTTTATTTTGTTGTTGAGAATATCAGTGAATACGCTAAATACTAGTTAAATACAAACTGATTATTTTTTTAATTGTTACACTTAGGTATAGATGTGTATGTATGTGTGTATAATTATATTTTATATTTTTGCTTTTCTTACAGCTAAAACTAAAATATTAAATAACTAAGGTTAAGACAAGTTCGCATGAGTTTGCCTTAGACCGCGCTCAGTTAACCCAGGAGATACTTTAAAATGAAGCGCCGTTAAATAAAATGTTTATAAATGTTTTCAGTTTTAATATTAAAGCGTTTTTTTAGTTTTCTTAAAAATTTATCAGATAAAACATTTGAATAATGTAAATGAACAATGCATTTGTCAAAAGCATTTAGTGGTGTTGCAATTGCTTATTTATTTGTTGATGTTTTATGACGTTTTCAATTGTTTATTGTCGTTGATGACTTTTATGCTTTAAATGTATAAATTATGATT